AATGTCCAGCGCAGTTGTGGCCGAAACGTCAGGACGAAATTGCGATGGGTCAGGGCTTCAAAGCCCGAAAAACATTTCTAAATGTGATTTGGCCAGCCGTGAAAGCCTTCATAGTCTGGTAAAAAAATTTGTTTCACACTTTGACTGCTACCCTTGCGTTCGAATCAACCCTTTCACGTTTAGAAGCAGGCAATTTTTTCAGGCCGCTATCAAAAGCCGCGTTCATACATCATCCAGTTCACACACTCTATTATAAACTTCCACCTCCATATTCCATTAAAAGGCCGCTTGAAACAGTCCACACTTTATTATTTTTATGGGGCCGTTTCTAGATTGCAAAACTGAGATAAATCACGGCTTAGTCCCTAACGGTGCACTTTTTACTGTTTGAAACGATGTGAAAATTTCCCGTTTGCATTGTGGGAGAGTGAATGTTTATCGGATGCTCTGCAGGAAGAGCTTCAGGCTTCAAACGAAAAATGCCTGTGCGTTTGCAAGAGGTACAATAAGAGTTTTTTGGGCCATCGGTGTCTAAGCTTGTAATGGTGAATCTCCATTGACTGCAATCGTTTTGGGGATAAAATTCAGAGGGCACTGGAAAGAAGAAAAAGACTGAACTTACCACAAATCCAGGAGGATACTGGGGAAAGGGCCCAATGTCCCTGGTAGCCACGTGGCTGGGTAAGTCGTGCCGTCCTTTTCTGAACTTTTTTCTGCGAAGACGCTGTTTCTCTCTGATTAGCAAGGCGGCCTGCATACCAGCGGCGGCGGCTGTGCTCATGCAGTATCCAAATGTACTGTTGTTTGCATGTTTTTACAGGCAGGAACCCGCCAGGTTGGGATCCCGATCAGGAACCACTTTCGCTCAACATTATCCGATTGGGTCCGAATCATGTTCGTGCGCGCTCTTGCAATCGGACATCAAACCATTGGCAAAAAGCCCTTGTTTTACTCACTATCGCTCCGGCTCCGTTGCATAGAGCAAATTGGTCCACTAAACATCACATCGACGCGTATAAATAGAGATATGGCGAAAGCACTGATGGATGCACTTCACATTGAACGCAGTCTTCCATAGTTCAGTTCCCCGGCGATAAATACGATTATAAAAATATTGTATAGGTAGAAAGTGGTATAGGAGTGTATAATTGCTTTAGCTACTGTTAAATAGTTGTCGTATAGAGGCCAAGCGAAGCTCCATTTAGTATATGCGAGTGGTTGGATAGAGATAAGTTCCGTTCTCCCACCTAGTGATCCCCATTCCCTGTTCAAATCCGTTCGAAAAATAGTTGTGATATGTGCGATTTGGAAAGAAACTGTGTTCGATTTGATGGCCCCTGGTTATTGGTTCGATCGGTTGATGGCATTTTTCTAGATTCTCATCCTGGATCGAAACTGCTGTTCATCTTCCTCTAGTTGCGTGTGAACCCGATTCAGCGTTCAAACATTTCGCTTCAATCTCTAAACAGACCTGGAATGCGATTGAGAGCGCGATGTGAAGCAACAGTGACCTCTAAGTCCCATTAATCCAATGCAACGTACTAAGGACTTTTGATTTGATTTGTAAAAGTGTCTTTATATGGACAATTGAAGCTGATCAGTTGTGGGTCGTAACAACCAGATTTTCAGGTCTTTATTGCTGACAAATCAATCGAGTTCGCGTATTTTCGAAACTGATAAAAATTTGGCAGTTTAAAGGAACATTTCTGTTATTACAGTGGGAATCTTTGATTAAAAATAAAAAATCATAAACTGTGTGTCATACACGGTGCAATTATGATAAATGTATTTTTTAATAGCTGTGATAAAACTAGGGCTTCTTGGCATACTTTTTGTGTATCAAATCAGTTGCTAGTTTACAGAAAATGGTCCAATTAGCTTAATGTTTATCACTGTAATTAAAAAATCTATGTTCTCATAATTTGCTTGTGTGTGACGCACGAAAAACGCTCAAAACATGCACAAGAGATAGACTTTCGAGGCCCTTCCTTGCAACTAATGGGGTTTCCGGGTTTTTAGGACGGCGTCTTCTTGACGTTTCGCAAGCACGAGTGGCTTGCATCTTCAGAAGTGGTTTGCTTGAACGCTTACACTGTTCTCATCAGAACCCCGGTTCAGTTCTGCGGAAGAACTGAACGGGTTCTGATGAGAACAGTGTAAGCGTTCAAGCAAACCACTTCTGAAGATGCAAGCCACTCGTGCTTGCGAA